ACAAGAAATCCAGTATTTAAAGCTTTAGTGCATTTGGAGTTCCAGAGACAACGTGTGCTCCATCCCCTTCTGGAGCAACACTCGGCCAACAGCATGCACCCAAAACACCGCCCTCCCTTCCTCTTTGCAGACACTGGACTTTCCTGGGTCTATCAGACAGTTTCTTGTGCAATGTGATTCCTGACAGAGCGTACTCAGGAGTCAGTAGCTAAAACTCATCATCTGGCAGTTCTGTTTTCAGTCCTATTGTGTGCCCTCGGAACTGCCTTTTGCTCACTCTCCTCTGGACATTCAGCACATTAAGGATGTGTTTCTACACCAGCCCCAGACAGTCAGCTCTCGAGCAGGGGTGGGTGGTTTTGTCCCACTGCTTCATGATTCCCGAGGGGCATTCAGCTCTCAGGAAGCCACTCCTGTGAGGGCAGAAGGGAACAGTTCCATGCTTGGCATTTGCTCCTCACACCCTCCTGCCACACAGGCAGAGAAAACAACACCTTTACTCCGTTTCATCTGAATCCTGGCTGGGCAGGAAAGTAAAAGATAGGGAGAACTGGGGGGATCTTCCTCTGCAAGGAAGGGTGAATTTCACACGCTTGTTCCACTTGTTTGGCTCTAAGGGAAGGAACGAGTCTGAAGAGGAACACAGAAAGATCAGGGACTCTCCACCAGGTGACTCTATGGTTGCTACTCCCAGGATTGGTAAGAAAAGCTTGAAAATTCACCAACTCGACAAACTCTTCAGCCAACTACCACTTATAACTACAAAAATCTTTACCTAGTAGAACCTCTTCTCCCATAAAAGAGAAAGAATTCATCTCTCCAGAGCTGGAGAAGAGGTGGAAAGGAAGCTTTTTCTCTGCTTGTAGCAAATGAAGACAGTTTTGCTTTTTTTTACTCATCATCTTGGCTTTAACAGGGAAAGTAGTATTTGGATGGAGTGGTAATACAGTAATACAATTTATTAACAAATAAATCAGCATAAAAGCAGCTACTCTACTGCACCGACAAGAGATTTCTTTAAAGAAAGCAAGAATCTGGAAAAATAGTGCCATGTGGATCCTGTGGTCAGCAGGGCAAGATCATAAGAATAAATGACTGCTTGCCCTCCCTAATTAGGGAGAGATGGAACGGGTGCACAGATCTTAAAGGGAGGAACATTTAAGACCCACAGTTCCTGTCCTGGGTTACAGTGCTCAGGTAACAGAAAAAGCCCCAGTCGGTGAATAATTTTTACAGGAAATACATGGGGAGTAGACAAAGCGTTTGGAATGAAATCCTATCAGGAAAGTAAAACTTTCTGGGGTGGGCAGAATTTGTTTTGTTCGTTCTTGAACTCTGCACAAGAGTCTTACACGCTCATCAAGGAGGACATCACAGCTTAACGTGCTGGCCCTGAGCAGAGGCACTGACAAAATCCTCCTCCATTTTTAGCTCTGCCTAAGAAAGTCCATCAGTGGCTACACCTACAAAACTGCACATCGTGTTCTCCAGCAGGAATGCAAACTTTTTTTTCCCCCTATAGTTTAATTATTTTCAAATACTTTTAATACGTTTGATCTCTTTTCTAGTCTAAAAAAAAACAACTTGCCAGCAGTTTACTGTGTAGAAGAAAAGATGGTTAACACAAAATAGCACTCACTTGCTTGACAGCTTCAAGTATAGACACACGCTGCTTGAACCCACAGCTCAACTTCAGTTGCTTAAAGGCAGACTCGTGTAGATGGACACGGCCAAAAATTACCCAGGAATCACAGGGCACTCAACTCTGCTTTACTTTGTTTTCATATCTAGTACTTCCAAGGTAAGTAAACTGGAGGAGCCCATCTGCAAAGGTCTTCCAGAGTGTCTACAAATTAAGTAGTAGCCTACTCAAAAACTTGAAACATATTACTTACTTTTGCTGAAAAACAAACCTCACCGCCCTGTTCTATAAGCAATGCTATATCTGTTTCAGGTTAAGAGTTCTCCTTTTCCCTCTCACTTTGTTTTGGTTTTTTTTAAGGTTTAATTAGAAAGTAACAGGAAAATAATTTAATTATTTCACAACACAGCCTTTTCATAAACACGCAATTATGTTCATTTCATGAGAATTTATCTTCACTGTGAAATCAATCGTCACAGTCTCCATTTACTCGACATTACCCGGTCACATTTGATTCCTGTCAGAGAACTGCTGACTTCTGCAGTAAATCAAAATGACAGATACTGTTAAGTTTCCCTCTGCATCTATCCCCCAGTCTCAGCTAACTCAAGATGGTTTTTCCTTCTATGCAGTGAAAGGAGCATTTTCCTGGTAACTATATTTTAGAGCTGGAAAGGTTTTCATAAATGGAAAAAATGCAGTGCATAATCCAGGAAACTATTGAAATGTACAGTATCAGAAACATATGGCTGGAGCAAATACCTATGCAGTGAGGGGCTGGGAATGAGAAAGAGAACAAGCTTATTAAAATTCTCCTCCTAAAGGGATTTTGCTTGGAAATTAAAATAACTCAATTGAACGCTAAGAAAGTTTGCACAGTCAAGGAGAAAAAAATGCTACAAATTATGGGGGGTGGGGGAGAGGGGAAGAGATACAGAATAATCTCCATGCTATCATGGAAGCTGGAACAGATGATTTTGCCTTTGTTCTTTAACGATCTACATCTTTAATAGCAAAATGGTTCCATAACCAGAACCCTCAGTGGGCAAACTTGAAAGCTGATTTCTTTCTCAGTTGCTAAGGTTTTTTTAATTAAAAAAAAAATAACCACTCCACCACCCCCCAACAAAAAAAAACCAACCAGAAAATAAATTACTTTTTTACATGAATTTTGAAAGGCAAACTACATTCACAACATGCCCCCATCAGAAACCAGGAATCAACAGGTTACCATAAAACAACACGACTCCTGATTTCAACACATCTTCATCGATTCCATGTTTCAGTTTCCCTAAGAATCTGAGATAGGGGACAGAGTCCCCACCCAGGTCACTCTACTTGAGAACCAATATTCCTGTTTCTACTGACATATCTACGAACTGAGGAGACAGTGGAAAGTGATACTAATCTGGTTTTGACCAATTTGTGCCAGCAGGCAGAGTTCTAGAAATATCAAAAACCAGCTGGTTTACAGTAACAGCAAAATTTGCTGTTGTAATTAGAATTCAATAAATATTTCTTCAAAAACAACTTCCACCTCCTTTAAAGCTGCAGGAGTGTCTCCATGAACTGCCTCTCCCGAGGCAAAGCTATTTTGTCATCATCCTGCTGTGCTGTCATGTCTTAACATGCCCAGGAAGATGTAAGGATGTTTTTAGAGCAGCTTGCAGAGGCTGCTACTGCAAGCCCAAAGGGGCAGGGTTATTACAGACATGGCAAACATTTTAGACATGTGATTTTGAAATCCTTGCTGTCCACTGCGTATAAAGATCAAGCCAAAATGTGAATGCCCAGCTATATAACACCCAAATCAATCCCAAACTTGCCAGTGGAAAGGCATGCTTCTCTTGGATTTTCACAGCAGTTCAGTGATCAATATTTAAGATAACAATAATACTCAAAGCCATTAGTCAAACCAAAGCAGAAACAGGGACCTAAGATTAACAAATTTCTCACGAAAGGAACTTAGTATGTGCAGCTGATATCAGGCCACCAGGACAGTTACCTTTCTTGACTGATGTGTGGGCAACATCAGGATGATTCACACAAATCTACAGCAGAATCATCAGAACTACATTCAACATGTATGTTTTCAAAAACATAACTTGTTTTTCTGAGCTTTTTTTCTGTGCTTCAGAATTGCAAGTGGTCAAGTGTTTGAAATCTTATTCCCAGCTCTATGTGTGTGACATACTGTCACAGGCCATCTCCCTGCAGACCATCTGGGCTGGTTGAGGTGTCAGCAGACACAGGCAGCGCCTCCATGGGGAGGTCAAAGTGAGACTCACATTGCACCCTCACGTTTCTGGGACCAGCAGAAACCCAACGGCCAAGAAATCCCGTGCTTTGCTTTTGCTTTGCAGGAGGGAGGGGCATTCCTTGTTCCTGAGAGTTCTGGCTGCTGTTTCTAGCCAGTCCGGAGCAACAACAGCTGGCTCTGCAGGGACATCCAGCCCTTGTCATCTTGAACACCTGAAGGTATTGCCAAGCTTTAGTGATGTGAGGGAGAAGCAGGTGTGAAGGGACTTAGCACAAGAGAAGAGGAAAACAAAAGACATTTTATCCCTGCTATCCCTCCAATTCACTTTACCTGTTCTCCTGAAAAAGAACTTAGAGAAACTGTCCCTTATCTGCTAGAATGCAATTCCACTGAACCAGCTGCACATGCAACTCTCCTCTTCAGTAAAACAAACAAAAAAAAAATTATAGGTCACTTGCATGTCTTTTGTCACATTTCCTTGCCTCATTTGTGCACAGCAATCTGAACTGGCTGTGAATGAGGAGCAGGCACCCACATGGCTCCTGCACTACTTAAATCAGAGGATGGAGTCTGAAAGGAAAAGTGTAGGGCAAAAACTACAAAGCCAAAGATTCTATTAACTGGAGAAGTGGAGGAATCTCATTCACTCTCCATTCAGCAGTGTTTAAACCCAAACAACCAATCAAGTGACTCCCAAGATAAAAGACAGGCAAGATTTTCCACTGGAGAAAGTGAAAAGCAACGATGCTTTTGTGATTTGCACCAGCTGAATCTGGTCACAAGGTACGGGAGTCATGAATGTTTTGGTAAGCCTAGGTGATTGCCAAAGAAAACAAAATAGGATCAGGAGATGATTATTCAGCCATACGGAAGAACCACATGACTCATCGTGGACTCGTTTCCCCCTGTGAGTGGCTCCGAGGACACCAACCTTTCATCCCACGGTTATGCAACAGCAAAGAAGCAGATAAATCAAGAATATCAAGATGCTCATGTATTCAGTATGGTAAAAATGCCAGAAATGCTCTTCTAGTTATTAAAATGCTCAGCTAGATAATAATTTCACAGAAGTATCTCCAGAATAGCCCATTTTCTCACCTCTGCTCCGTGTTAAACAATGCAAAGATGTGTTTGCTGGACATGAAGCTCTTCTCGACATCTCGCACTTTCAAGTTGTCCAAAGGAAGCATATATTTCTTCTCTTTCTCCTAGGAAAAAAAATAGATTAAAACAACATTATGTGAGAAGTCTCAAAAAAGCCTGATCTCAGCAAGCTCTGTTTAATTGGCAGTGACCCTGGTACATTTGCTATCATAAGAAAATACCCAAACTTTAAATGTCAGCTTATCTCTCATAGACATACCTGCAAGAGAAATGAATCCTTAATTTCAGTTCTGTTTCTTTCACTGACCCTTTTAAAACATTTCTTTATAAAAAAAATTCCACATCAAACACATAAGCATCTACATTTATTATTCTTCATTCCTCTGAATTCTAAAAAGGAAAGGGTCAGACTTAACTAAATGTGTCTGATCAATAAAAAACTCTTCTACTGTGCCTACGTAACAACTGGAGTAACCAGTAACATAAAATCAATCTTTACCTTGAATTACTATTATTAATTCTTTAGGGTGGCATTTGATGAGCCAACCAGTAAATTTTTGTTCCTCCACTGAAAAATACAAAAACCATATAAATCAAGCAAAATCATACCATTATCAAGGTTTTATACGTACTGCCTACAAACAAGATCAGACCCTAATCTAACCATCTTATTTCTCCAAACAGGAATGAACTACTGACTTCTGCTGTAGCCAACTCCTTGGGCAGTTTCATCACAACCCTCCTTTACAGCACAATCACTGTAATTTCACCTTTTTTAAGTTCCTTCCTTCCTGTCACTCCCAATTAAGGACTGGTAACACTCCTGAGCTAATGAATCACGTAGGAACAAAAAAGCCCTCAGATTATTAGCTGTTTCCATTATGGTAGACTTCCTTGAAGTCCTGGCACTGATGGATAAACCAAAGCAAACTCCCTTGTTTTGCTTTGCCAGCACACCTGATGCTAAATAGGAGTGATCCAAAGACAAGAGGGGTGAATTTGCACCCTCAGTACCCTCATTCTTGCCCATCACAGTAACACTGCAGACAGGGGTACAGTTCAACAGCTTTTAAAAGCCACCGAGGCTCTGTTAAGGCTGGTGCCATTACCACGGCAGTGATGGACTGGGGAGAGGCTTTATGCCCTGGAATTTGTGCAGTGGATACTAAATGGGGTTCCTATGAATTTGGCTACCCAATGACTCTACAGAATTTCAATAAATCACCAAAGCTGGAGACGTTTGGATCCCTTATCTGCCATGGTGAAGCAATGCTGACTCTTCCCTTCCCAGCCACCAGCAGAGCAAGCTGTAAATCCAACCCCACTGCCCTTGCTGGAGTACTCTGGACTGGGATATCCCTTTGGGGGGTTGGCTCAAGTAAGAACTTTGCATGGAATAATGGTTTATTGTCTGCCAGGAAACAGGACAAAGGGGCAAACCAAACAAGGATTTGTTCTTCTCAATGCACGTTTCCCAGAAGGAATCACCGGAGTCACTTGCAGTGCACGGAACTGGAAGGAGGCCTCACCAGGCTGTGTGTTCTGGGAGGGCAGATGCAATTCAGCTTGGCTAAGCTTCAGCAGATTGCAAAACCAAACTGGATGAGAAAGGCCTTAAGAGTGAAACTATAAAAATACAGTGACACGTCCAACAGCAGTTCACTTTCCTAGACAGCCTCGCACCAGGCCTCGGTAGAGGAAAAAGCATATTTCAAAAGCCTTCTGGAAAAGCATGGCTTCTACTTGGTTTTCTGAATCCCAAAGTTATCAAATTCAGGATATTAGACAAAAAGTATCTGACTGATTTGCAAAGTACCTCTGGCTCAGCCATCCTAGGAATTATTACCCACAGAAGTTATTACTTTACCCACATAGGTATATTCTTCACCCTCTCATCTAACCACAACTACCATGAAGGAGTCTAGTCCTGTGCCACTCTACAGCTGCTGCTCACAGTTCCCATCTATCATCTGCTCCAGGGAATATAAACTCTCTGAAGCTTGGGGGCTGTCCCTGAAAGGACAGTGCACTGTCACCCAGTCAGTGAGTATCACCACTGAGGGAAATAAAACTAAGCAAAGGAAACTCGTAACTTACCAATAAAAAATAAGACATAGTAAATGATGCTAAATAGAGAACTTGCAGATCAGATATTTATGAATGAAAATTAGAAGTACACTGCCTTCTAATACTGATTTTTATTGATAAGATCTGTTTTGCTGTCATAAATTTAAGTCCTAAATAGTGTTGATAGCATTTTAGCTTTGCTGCCTTGACAAATTGACGCACACTTGAAAAATACTCTAGTATATAAGTTCATATATTAAACTTTGTATTATAAGCAAATACGTTTTTTCAGTTGAAAGCTGGACTGCATGGCAATGTGAGTTACTTTGTATTCTATTCCAAAAATTTAAGACAGCTTATATACAAAAAAATATTTTTTGGATGGAAATATTCCATTTGGGCTGATTTATTCCATCATAACTAAAAAGAAAATAAATCTAGATAAGTTTAATTTTTTGCTTTAAAACTTAGCTCTCAGTATTACAGAATATGCTTATAATGATTTACTACTCAATTACAAAAAATTCAAGAAGTTTCTGATGAAGTGTTTGTTCTGACAGACATTATTTACTGGCAAGCCAAGCAATCCCAGATGAACAAAAATAGAAACCGATGAAAAAACTATACCAAGAATCTGATTGTCTAAACAAAAGTTCCACAAGCAGGAAAGTTATATAAATGTTTGATGCCAAACTGTGAGAAAGTGTTTCTTCTGCAGCCACCAGGAAAAAGGAAATGCCTACTGAAGGCTAAGAAGTGGTTGGTATTTATTTACATGGCCTCCTACCCACATGCTGAGACACGGCAGTTTCCAAGAAAGGGAAATCATAGGGTGCCTGTGCTGGAGGCAAACAGAGACAGCATGTCACATATGAGAGCTCAGAGCTAAATACTGCTTAATTCCAGGAGAAAGGGATCACTGTGACATGAAAGTGTGGCAGCAAAACTCACTGCCATTTTTTCGCCTCCCCCCGCTCAAAATGGGGTAAAGCATACGCAAATGGAGAACGAGCTAATTCAACAGCAGATGAGCCCAACAACATTTCAGCCTAAGCTCCATTAATATTCTGTTGTGGTAGAGCGAAAAAAGCTTCAGCCAGGACTATCTGTGCATGTTTCCCCTCCTGAGAAGCTGTCAGGGTAAGAAACCGGGAATGCACGAAGCCTGGGAGGAATGGGGCTAGGCACACTTCTAGGAGTGACTACATGCACATAACTGTGGGTCCAGTTTGTCCCCCTCAGCATTTGTTCTTTTTTATTTATAGATTTTTATTTTTATAATGGGGCAGAGAACTTAGGCGTGACACGAGGGGAAAAACCAGCACATGCTGATCCCACGTAGAGACTTCGCCTCTCTTTTTCCAGAGCAGAGGAGAAGAAGGAAAAAGTGGGAGGGCAGCATGGCCCATTCCTGTTCCTGTGACACGAAAAAAAAAATTCCCCATACTCCACCTTAGAAAAACAAACTAACCTGCTGGCCTGGGGAGCCTTCCCACCCTGGAGACGATGTTTTCACCACTCCTGGGCCTAAGTAGCACTCACATCCTTAATGGACTAGTTCTGTTCTCCGACAGGCAAGCAAGCTGCCAGGAGCTGACAGCATGATGTAAATATGCCATATTACAACTGCCCCTTCCTTCTGCAGTGTTTAAACGTACTAAAAATAAATACTCTCCAAGTCCAAAATGGCACAAGGGATACAAAAAATACAAGAGCAGCTCCCCTTCCCCCAGCAGGGTCTCAGCCAGCACTTCCAGGCTAATGAACTCCGTTGCATTTTCAGCCAGGGGCAGAAACGGCTTCAAAAAGTGTTCTCTGCTTTTGGAACTTTTAGGAACCTTGGACACAATGTCAGCTAACTGGATGATGAGGGGGAGAGATTACCTTTGCTTCAAAGAAAAGAGATAAAGTTAAATTACTTCAGCTCCTTCCAGTTATCAAAGGTGATTGTCATTTTTATGTGTCACTTCAGGATGGTCACAGTGCAGCACCAGCCACAGGACAGATTCTACTCCCCAGTAAAACAGCAGAAAAGTTCATGCAGGACAATTCAAACACACGATACTCAGACTCTGAAAGGCAGGTCTGAGCCTCAGTGTTGGTCTAATCACACTTCCAGTTACGTCAAGGAGAATCGGGCTGGTTTGCTCACCACTTTCTAACTTTTTAGAACACCAGCTTCCACGTGGAGGGTCATGACACCAACCCAAACCTGTCTATGCTGACTGGGGAGACCACAAGTTCAAAGAAATCAAGCTCCCAACTGGAAGAGGAAGCCATACTGGGATAGTTGGCACAAAGGCTAGTTTACAGCAGGGTTCATTCTCTGTATTGTTTGTACTGAAAGTACAAACGCCAAGAGTATTTACCGTGCACTGACAGCAAAGGCAGGTATCCACAAAAGGGCCTCTGCCATTAGTGTGAGGCATTAACGAGGCAAAAGAGGGAACTGCTTTGAAATAAAGCTTGGGAACAGCAGAGAAAAAAAAGGTTGGCATTTCTGCCTCTGAATTAGATTTCCAGACCAACTCTGTACTGCTCCCTGTATTTGTTTGCACATTCATAGATTGGGGCTAACACTTACCTGACAACACATTTTAGTGCCCTGACTGCAGGACACCTTAACGATGCAGGGCAGGTGTCCTGCAGTCAGGGCACTAAAATGTGTAGGTGGAACACCAAAGCCAAGCAACTATTTGGTAAAGCACTTAAGGCAGCAGAGGCAGAAAATAATCCCCTAATAAAGATATTCTCTAGTACTGTACTATATTATTTGGCCAGATCAGTACCTGCATTTTACAGAGGCACAGGGACCTGCTGAGACAGAGTGATCTACATTAAAGAAAGAAGAAGAAAAATAATAGGAAGTGTAAGGAAAATGGGGGCGGTCTGTGCCTGTTTACTCCCGAAAAGGAAAGGTTCAGACTTGTTTACGCCCAGGAGCTCTCACAGCCTACTCTGATGAAAGTGCAAACTTTTAACATGCCTCATAGCAACCTTTATATCAGTACCTTTAAATCAATACCCAAGAGCTAAC